TTTTTTAAAGTTTTTTAGAAAAGATTATGTGTTCCTTACCATTTTCACCCCAAGCAGTTCCCCAACTATTTCGGCCAATTCAATAGGAAATTCCAGAATTTTCGTCTTTTCCCCATCCGACAACCTTTTTTTTAATTAAAAATAATTTTTTGAATTCACTTTGTAGAGAGTATAATTTTCAAAAAAATTTAAACTACACTTATAATGTGGTTGATTTCCTGTAGAAAATATTTTTAAATTTTAAATAAAAAATTCTGACTTCATTAGTCTTTTCTTTATAAATAATAGAGATCAGTATCTCTCCACTACTAAATCGGTATCTCTCCACTAATAAAACTATTTGTGTTCATTTTTTATATAATGAGCACAAATAGTTTTTCAAACACAAAAATCTCCACTACATTTTTACTTTTTAAATCAGATAAAACATTCAGTTTTCGATTATAATAAAACAGAATATTATAATAAAACAAAATTTGCTGAACATTAAGGCTAGCAACATACATATCAAAAAACTCTTTGAACGAATAAACACAGATAATACCCTGTAAGGCAAAAACACATGAAGAAAAAATACATACAACCCCAAAATTATAAAGAAAAGTTGAGATGCTTTTTGTTTTTTTAATATTAAGAGTTTCCGAACAATTTACTAATTTAAAGTTACGCAGAAACATGTTAAAGGGATCAGGGAATGTTTGTTTATTGCGAAGGTCCGGGCATCTTTTTTATAAAAAGATATCAAATATCCAAATTATACTAATATATTTAAGCAGTTGATGATTAAAATTATTCCTCTGTTTCATGCTCAAATTGAAGTCGAAACAAAAAATATTTTAAAAGAAAATAATATTTTATTTAATTTAAGCAATAATGTTATTAAAAAAGAAATAAAAATAAATGGAATAAATTCATTATTAACCATAAAAATAAATAACGGATATCAATTAACTCGATTAATTTGTTTCTTTAATCCTTTAGGACCCCGAAAATTAATTAAAAGGAAAGAATTAATTAATCAAGATAAAATTAAATTTATAGAAGCAACCTCGATAAAAAGTAAAAAAGGTGAAGAGAAAATGGAATATTCAAATATTGAAATCTGTGTTAAATTTGAATTAGAAGGCGAGTAATTTAAAAGAAAAATTTTAAGTTTTTGGATAGTTAGTTCCTCCTAAAGCCAAAATTGTCTTTAAAAGTTTTAACACATATTCTGAGAGTCTAGCTAAAGAATTAGAAGTTACTCCTAGTTCCTCAAAAATTTATGTTCTAGCTATCACTATTTATCTAAATATTTTTCAAATCAAGCATGGTTAAATCCATTCTCAAAAATATGTTTCATCTCATTTTTATGCTAAGTCTCTAAAAATTCGAGATCGACCTTCTTTTAAATGCCCAAATTTGTTTACATTAAAGTTGTATCAAAGTAGATTTAAATTCCACTAAGTATTTAATAGTTTCTCTTCAAAATATTTAGGTAATTATTTAATCATAATAAAAGAATCTTTCTATGATGAATTATGGTTTCAATTTTTCGTTAATATTAAACAACCAAATAAAGAAAGATGTTTATTTAAATTATTTAATGAAAACAGAAATAACGAGAAAGAATTATTTCAACGTTTAAGATTTAGTACAACAATTTTTGTAAAGAAAGTGGATGGATTGGAGTTTGAGGATGGGCAAATGTCTGTTAATTATGATGAGGATATTATGGAGGGGGATAATATTTTGGAAAATATGAAATTAATTGGGAAAATAACTCCTTTAATTAATTATGGAAATTATGAATTTTATATTGATAAAGAAGGAATTGTGAGAGAAAAGGAATGAAAATATTAACCTATTTAACAATAAAATTAATAATAATATAATAATAAATATACATATATATAACTAATATTTAATGGATTTTTAGATTCTGATATCTAAAATGTATAATTTATGTAATTTTTGAAAATTTTTAATTTAGAAAATAATGAAAACAATTAGTCATTTTTAAATTAACACTTATAAAATATTCTATTTATTTTTCAGCATTATTTGTTATTAATTTATTTACAAAATTCAATTTTATTATTTTCCAAATTTAAGAAAGAACTTTAAAATTTTTTAATAATTTTGGTTAATTTATTGGCAAATATTACAATTAATCCTTTCTGGATTTAATTTTTTTCAAACAGAAAAATAACAAAATTAAAAATAATTAAAAATTACTTGAAATAAAAAAATTATAAATTTGACATTAATTTTTAATTTATTTAATTCATTAAAATATTAAATAAACTGTATTTATAGAATAAATAATTCTTCCCCTAATAAAATAATAAGTAAAACTCAAAAGAATCTTAATTACCCTTAATTTTCATTTTTTGCATTTATGCTATCCCCGTCAAACGATTTTTTCATATCATGAACACAAATAGTTTTTTCAACAGAACAATCTCCGCAACATTTTTACTTTTTAAATCAGATAAACATTCAGTTCTCGATATAATTTGTATAATATTTTTATAAATTTAACAAACATTTTAACTTTCTATTATTCTTTTTAAATTAATATACACACCTGGATATTGTCTAGACAGTCAAAAGACAATGCTAGTCTAAAATTGCACTTTTATCTATTAAAAGACTATATTCGACTAAATAAATATTATATGAGTATAGCCAGAGATATGTTTCAAATGATGGCCTTTTAATGTAAAGAGGCATTTAATTTATTTTTATAAAATATTTATCAGTCCAAATGAAAAAAAAATTCAAAAAATTCAACACATCCATCTACCTTCTACATTGTCACAGCCGCCGATTAACCTTTTGCACTATCTGAAGGAGTGATATCTGCTTTACTTTCTTATAAATTACATATAAGGATTTAGAAAAAAAATTTTAATCTGTAGACATAGAAAAAATAGTAAATGTAACATAACCCTTACTAGAATCATTCACTGAAAGGCTTAATGAAACACTTTTAAACTTTAAATTTAATTTAATGCAAATATTATTCCTTTAGTTTGTTTAGCTTACATATACGACTTTACAGGAAACTTTTTATCTTTTTTAAACTTGAATTTTTTCCAAATTTTCCTCACATCAACATCATTTCATATTTTATTAAATTTAATAGTAAAGTGCATTTTCATAAAATATAATCCTTTTATTTATTATTCATTCAAGTTATTATCGTTTTTTTCATACAAAATACATAAGTTGTTTTGAAATTTCTTTATAAATTCATTCAAATATTTGATCCTGTGTTCAAACTCTTTTTGATAATATAAATTTTTAATCTGTAGAAATTATTTCTCCCTTCTTGATCTCCCTTCTTGAAAAACATTTTATTTTAAAAATTATTGTTTCAACCTTGGGGTAATTATTTAGATGGGGTAATTATTTGATAGGGGGTAACTATACGAGCATATACGGTAACCAAAATTAGATAAAAAAAATCTCCCTTCTTGAAAAACATTTGTCGAATTTTCGCTCGTTTGGACACGATTTTGCTTTCCAAAAATTAAGGTCAATGTTTAAAGTTTTTTGTCCTTCAAAAGTGGATTTTTCGGTGTCCATCAAACACATTTATGTACAAAAGATCATTTCACGGAAAATCAAATACTCCATTGGATTTTCTTGTTTTTTTTAAAGGGTAGGGTTGATTTTTTGGGTTTTAACTAGCCAGCCATCGCTAAGGCGACGTTGCACTACCTTCATTTCCTTCATTCCCTCATTCTATCTCTCTATAGCTTTATTATTGATGTTTATAGCAGACTAAATTGATTTTAGACTATTTGGGCTGTGAGAGAGCGACGAAAATTCTTATTGAAAATTATTTAAAATTTTTCTAATTTTTTAAAATTTTATTTTAAAAATCCCTGAAATTCCAACTCCGGGTCCAATTCGAAGTGTTTGAAATGCTCGGAGTCAGAGCCACAAAATGCCAATACCCTTCACTGCCTTGAATTTCTCTCCAAAATATTTTTATATTTTAATTTAATAATTAGGTTTATAATTTTTTAAATATTTATATCTTATTTTTATTAATAAAAACTTTAATTTTATTAGTCATATGTTTATATAAATATAGTTAACTAACGATATTTTTTATTTGTTTTGCGTGTATTTAGTTATTGATAATTCTTTTTTATTTTTAATTTTAATTTTTTAAAGTTTATTTGACTAAAAGTTGGCGAAAGAATGTTTAGAATTCTTTTAGAATATTGGTTCCAATCCTCGAGCTCGTTAAGTTGAAAATTCCTTGGAAGATCTTTGAATATTGTACATATGTACAATTTAAATTAATTTTTCAATTTATTTAAAATTTTCAAATTGTTTAAATTTTTAAATTAATTTTTTAAATTATTTTAGTGTGTTATACAATCCCTTCTTAAATTATTTTCTTTTAGTACTTTTTCTTTAAGCTTTTCTATTTTTATTTCCTTATTAGTTTTTGGTTGTGTGTTATTTGGTAACTAGTATTTTTATTATTTTTTATCGAAAATGTTAACTTCAAAGAAAATGCTTTTAAATAATAAAAGTACAATTTATTAAAAAATAAATTAAATTTAATGGAAATATTAATTAAAATTTAATTTTTTTTATTTAAATATTTAAAACTTTTGTTTTTATTTTTGTTTCCAATTTTATTTAGTATATTCCTTAAATGTTGAAATAATTACCCTGGGATGTGGGATATATCTCATTATAATTGATACGAAATTGGTTTATTTTTTGATATTAAGCTTAAAATGTTCCATTAATTAAACTTTATCATAATTTTTTAAATATTTTTAAAGTTTGCGTAAAAAAACTAGGGGGTAATTATTAGAGAGGGTAATTATTTCAGCATTTACGGCATTTACATTTTATTTTAAATTTACATAAAATTTTTCATTATTTTGCTTCAAGTTTAATTTTTTTATTTATTTTTATTTATTATCTATTTTCATAACAATATATTTATTTTTAATAGTTTAAAGCAATATTTCCATATAATTATTATGGATAATTTTGACGATTCCTCTGAAACTGAGTTTGTTGATTGTAACAACATTAATCACAACGGATTTGATTCTCTTTTAAATGGATTAGATCCAAACCTTGGAATGCTTGTGAATTTTTTTAAATTAAAAAATTATTTTTTATAAAAATTTTTAAAAAATTTTTTAATAAATAAAATTATTTTTAATTTTAATTTATTTTTAATTAAAAATAAAATTTTTGTAAAAATCTTTAAAAAAATATTTTTGAGGCTGACAATGATTTAGAACAATTTCTTGGTTCTTCAGTTTCTTCTCCTTTAAATTTTGATTTGGATGATTTATATGGGCGTGTGGAAGAAGAACAAAATTGGGTTTTTAATTTTGTTCTTTAAAGAAATATAAAAATAATTTAAAGCAACAAAAATATACTTCCCAAGACCACGACCATTGCTACTTTGAAATGCCCTCTTTTTGTGGCTCTCCAGATTCGGGGCTTTCTTCGAATGTTACTTCAAATGAAAGTTCTGGATGTACAAGCATTCGAAATAGGTTAACTTTATAAATTAATTTGATTCTGGAGTAAAAAATTATTTTAAGTGCCCATTTTCCTTTAAAAGTGCCCTTCTGATATGTGGGAATAATTAATTATTATATCAGAAGGGCCTAATTTAATTTTTTATATTTTAAAATTTGTTTTAGTTGTGGATACGAAACAGACTCTACATTAACATTAAATCCAAATTTGGATGTTCCTGTTGATTTTCAATTAAAAGAATCATCAAAATCAGCATTTTATGTTGATACTGATGGAACTTTAATGGAATATACAGTTAATTTCTGAAAAATATTTTTGGTTTTTTAATTTTTATTTTTAGGAATACCAATCTGAAACAATTAACAATCAGTCAAATAATGTTATTGAAAGTTTAGTTAAACAAAACAAAATAAACAACTTAATGGTAATATTGAGATTTTTAATTAATTCTTTGACCTTAATAAATAAATATATAATTAATTAATCAGTCCAATATTATTATTCCAATTTCACGTTTACATAAACGAAGGGTTGATAGGGATTAGGGTTGCCGTTTTCGAGTCGGGCCGATGGTCGAGGCATTTTTGGGCTTGTTTTTATCGAGTCGGGCTGGTACGAGTTTTTTCGGGCCAAACATCTAGGCCCGACTCGATCTTTCGATCCGAGTCGGTCCATTTTGGCAACCCCAATAGGAATTAAGGTCTCAAAAAATCATTATCTAGATAACCGAAATTTCTAATCAAACTATCGCCTCATTCCTATATCCATCTAATTTATATCACAAGGTGGATTAATATTGACTTTATTATCATTTAAATCAGAGGAATTATTTTTCTAAAAAATATTTTAATAGGATATTGTGCTAAAAATGAATTTGAAAATGAATATTTGGATGCTTTAAGTGAAGTAAAGCCAGTAATGTCTAATAAACGTGGACGACATCAAGGGTTGGTGTTGACTGAGGAGGAAAGAAAATTATGTAAAAAAGTCTGTTTTTCTTTTTTATTTTATTCAAAAGCCGTTAAAAAATAATTCTCGAATAATAATTAAACCCACAAAAGATACCTCTACCAAATTAAAATTTGTTTTGAAAATTTGTTGCCCATTGGGTCCCTATTTATACTCTAATTATAACCCGTATTCAAAACAACTCCATTACCGTATCTTCTCGATTAATTCCCCTCCCTCGAATAATTCCCCGTGCTAGAGTGGGGTTGAAACAATAATTCCATACCCCAAATACTCTACTGCACGTTCAAATGCCAAAACTCGAATAATTCCCCTCTTTCGATTAATTCCCCATGCCAAGGAAGGGTTGAAAGAATAATTCCCCAGGGGAATTAATCGTCAAAATACGGTATAATTTGGTTCGGAATCGAAAAGGATTTTAAAAAATGGTTCCGGAACCGAATCAAAAAACCAAGAATGTTCGGTTGTGATATCCGAAGATTTACAACAGCCCCAGCCAGGGACGTATCTTATATTAAAATGTCTAATATTCTTAAAAATTAATTTAAAGGAAGGTATCAATCTACCCGATGTTTATCCTCTCACAAAAGCTGAAGAACGGGAATTAAAAAGAATTAGACGTAAAATTAGAAATAAAAAATCGGCACAAACAAGTAGAAGGCGAAAACAGGCAAACAAAAAATTTTAAAAATATTTTGAAAAAATATTTTTTAATAGGTTTATATTGAAGCTTTGGAACAAAGAATTGAAAATTGTACAAAAGAAAATGGGGAATTAAAAAGACAAATTGAAATTTTGGCTGGGGAAAATAAACATTTAGTTACACAGCTTAGAAATATGCAGGTACTATATTGTTTTTTATCAAGGGTATATTTAATAGGGATCCTTTTCCTCCCGATTCGCGGTATCGAGAATTTATTTTTTTATGCCGGCAGGATCCTTGATACTCTTTTACTGACTTTTTTCTTTAAAAAATATTTTTACTTGTAATTTAGATTATACACTGCGTAACAAAAAGATGGCACATCATGTTTTTTCGATATAACTCAATGGAAAAGAGTCCGTTTCGACTGAAAATTTTTTTGTAAATAGTTTTCATGACTAGGATAAAGATAAGCTAAACCGCGCGGAAAAATTTTTTTCCTGAATTTTTTTATAAAATAATAACCGTTTTAGCAGTGTAACAAAAAGATGGCACATTTTAAATTTTCGAGATTAGGAGTGGTCTGAAAAATCTATAAAAATTCCTGTAAGCATCTCTATTGATATAGATAGAAAATACAAAAGAAACGAAGTTCTAATATACTTCCATCATCGAGATCTAGAAACCCGAAAATCAACGGAAAACAGGGGGTGAACGTCTTTAAAAAATATTTTCGACCCCTTATAGACTAAATTAAATTTTTATTTTATGCTTTTCTGAAAGCCCTTTAAATTTGCTATAATACCAGCAATTTTTATTTTACAGAAATTTTTTTTCATTAAGTTGTACTTCATTAAACTTTTAAGGTGCTCAGAAAGGGGTAAATTTAATGATTTTCATGTCCATTGAATTTAACCCTCAATATCTCCCAAGTAAAATTTTTCGATTTATTATAAATAAGGGTTTCTTATAGCAAATTTAAAGGGCTTTCAGAAAAGCATAAAATAAAAATTTAATTTAGTCTATAAGGGGTCGAAAATATTTTTTAAAGACGTTCACCCCCTGTTTTCCGCTGATTTTCGGGTTTCTAGATCTCGATGATGGAAGTATATTAGAACTTCGTTTTTTTGTATTTTCTATCTATATCAATAGAGATGCTTACAGGAATTTTTATAGATTTTTCAGACCACTCCTAATCTCGAAAATTTAAAATGTGCCATCTTTTTGTTACACTGCTAAAACGGTTATTATTTTATAAAAAAATTCAGGAAAAAAATTCTTCCGCGCGGTTTAGCTTATCTTTATCCTAGTCATGAAAACTATTTACAAAAAAATTTTCAGTCGAAACGGACCCTTTTCCATTGAGTTATATCGAAAAAACATGATGTGCCATCTTTTTGTTACGCAGTGTAGTAGCTCCCCAGCCTTCGGGATTGTTGGGGATCGGAGTTTGCTTAGATAGAGACTTCGAATCGGGGTTTTTGCCAAAATAATCGTCGAGGGATGGGGAGCTACCCTAATTTGATTTAAACTAAAAAATTATTAACAGATGACACTTGGAAACACAACAAAGTTGACAGGTCAGAGAGGTACTTGCTTAGCTGTACTTCTTTTATCTGTTTGTCTTATTGTTGCACCAAATGGCAAACAATTTGGAATGAATGGTGTTAATAGAAATACTCAGCAGGAAATGCTTGTTGATAAGGTAAAAAGAGGGAGGAGTTTATTGTTAAACATAAATAAAATTTCAGTTTAACCAAAAACCTGGAGATTTACATCATTCAGAAATTGAAAGTAGAGAAGGTGTTCTCACAAATTTAGATCAGGCAATAGGAAATAGAGGACAACGTTTTTATGGTTTTTATTTAAAATATTGACAATAATTTAATAATTAAAAAAGGTGCTTCTCGAACATTAATAGACTTTGTGGCACCCGAACAAAAATGTATGGATGATAAAATGTCAGAATCTTTTGGTTTTACACAGGCAGATTCTGTTGCTTCTTTTAAGGCTAATTTTAAATTTTTGACAATAAAAATTAAAAAAAAATTAATTTCAGGCCGTAGCTGAAATGAAAAAAATGCAAAAAATACACAAAAATCTGCACAAAAGAGCACAGAAACGAAATTGTAATAATAATGAAAATCTTGGATTTAATAATTCAAAATGTTTTGAAAAAAATTTTAATCAAAATGGTTAAAAAATATTTTTATAATTTATGATATTTAAATTTTAGAAAATGATACATTTGAAAATGGTTATTATTCAACGAAAGAAATGTTTGATGCCTATAACCAAGGTCAAATAAAATTATAGAGTTATAGGATATAGGCAGAGTAATTTTTAAAAATTATTCAACTAATCATAATGATTTGGGTTTGGAAACGGTTACCCTGGGGTGAGTTGAAAATCAGATTTCTTTGACATTACTCATCAAATTGCTTGGGAAGATCCCAGGATTTTTTTCAAATTTTTACCACATTGCTTTTTCATAAAAAAATAAACATAAACATTTTCCCTAATTAAATTTCCGTATATTAGGTATTCCTAATTTTATGAAATAATGTATGTTGCATTAAAAATTTCTGAATCTTTTTCTAAACTAAAATATACATAGGACATTAGTGAAATTAAAGTTATTCTTATTTTTTCTACATTTTATTCTCTTAATCGTTTGAAAATTAATTATTAAAATAATTTTTATTCAGATATAATGGTTGAAGAATACGAACCTCAATTAGATTATTTAACTGGACAAAATTATGGTGAAAATATTTTGATGGAAGAGGACGAATTTCTTTTTACTCCATATGCAATGAGTGGAGGGCAGATGGAATTTATAGAAAATAATTGGGAAGTGAAGAAAATAAATTCAGAAAAAATTTTTGACTGCTATGAAAACAATGGAAATAATCAATCTATTGAGATAATACATCCATATCAACAGATATGATTAAAAGAATGATAGGTATTTTAAAAGGATGATAGATATGATTAAAAGGATGATTTTTCGAGAGGTTCCTATTGTTGAGGAGGGGGGGGGGGTTGGAAATTTTTTGACTCAAAAAGGGAAATGTGGATATTTAAACTCTAAAATTCCCCAACCTTAAAAGATAGGTCCTACCCTAATTTTCGAGGGTTTCTTTATTTTATTTGGGGGTTTGATCCTTTTAGAATTGAACTTGGTCTGTTTTTTAGTTTCTTGGTTAACCCATATCCACTGAAATGCTTTTTAAATTTACTCCAATTCTCTTCAATATTAATAGACCTTTTATTAAATTCTTTAAATCATTTACTCACCCATTCATTTACCTACCCTTTTTGTACTTTTTTATTCCAATTCTTGTTATTTTCTAAAAACTTCTCTTCACTATATTCTTATCTTCACTCCTTTATTTCCTTTTAATTTTTTGTTTTCAAAGTCTAAACAATTCTAAAACTTTTACTTCAAATATATTAAAAACATATCTGTTGATTGTATGTTATGGGTGAACAATTTGTAATTTCTTTTGTATTAATTACATTTGTGATAGTTTAATATATTATAAAAGCATAAATTTGGTTAAAAATGAACAAAAAAAATTTTCTGACAAATATAAAGTTTCGGATTCAATATTTTGTTCATTTTATACATATTGTCATATTTACTCGAATAATTCCTCTATTTATTTTTTAATTCATCCGCATTATTAATTATTGAAGAATTATTCGAGTAAATACTTGCTATTCCTTCAGTTATTTTAATACTCCCAAAATATTCTCCCAATTTTTTGTGTATTTTTTGTTGAAAATTATTATTGGAGATAAATAATATTTGTTGATTTATTATTTATATAATTTCTATAGACGATACCAGAGACTTCAATTGATAAATTAAAGTGAGATTATTATTTTAATTTTAAATTTGTAATCTTTTTGGAATATAGGGTGAGCCAAAAGCTCATATGACTTAAGAAGAACAGGGTAAGTTCTCAGCTAATTTACCCATTTTTATCTCGTCTCAAATATAACCACGTACTTTCCGGATTTGTATCCAATAGATTGCTTTTTTGGTCTATTCTGCAGGCAATTAATCTGCGCTTAATAATCTAAAAATGTGGAATTACGACAATTGCGGAACTCAAAAATAGTTTCAAAATGATATGTTTTATTACTGTGCCAAGAAAATAAAAATGTTTAAAATTATTGGATAATTAGAGCCTTTTCTTTAGGCTCTAATTGCAATGACGGCACGAAAATTTTTGGCCAGTATTGGTTTATTTTGAATATTCCTTAGAAATTTCTAACACACTAAAAGAAACTAAATCATTCAATAAAAGATTATCATTATCGCATTAAGATATTCAATGAGTTATCCTCTATCATTTTATCCATTCAGCAGAGCTAGTCTTCTGTTTGTTTTCCTTAATTATAATAAAATATTCATTCTTAGAATAATTAAATACCTCTTCCATCGTAAATTTATTTCCTTCACGTGTTTTCAATGTCGAACGAAAATCAACCTGAATATAACAATTTTATGAAATACCAAAATTTATTTATCATTGATATACCTTAGCAGCATTTTGCTTTTTTATTTTGTCGAATCTTTAAATTTATAACTTAATTTAGAAATGAAATTTAGCTAACTGTGAATCAGTTTTGCTTATGCGCTTAAGAGTTGGTTTAACACTAAATATAATTGAAATATTTTATATCAATGTTTAGGAGAATATTTATTACAATTTTCCACGTAAATCATTTACAGCGATTGTTAGTTCATTAATTTCAAAATCCTTCTGAAAAGATTTTTTAATTAAATAAAATTATGGTTAATAACAGATACAAAGAAAGGTTCTAGCTACGCGTAGTTAAAATTATTAAAAGTTATCTATAGTAAAGCACTGGGCTTTAGCTATTTCTCTCCTTCAGCTAGTGCAAAAGGTTGTTCAGCGGCTGGGCGAACCAGCAACTTCAATAGACCGGCACCCTTAGGAATTCATAGCTACATATATGCTTTACATTATGAATATATTTTTAAAAATTTTTGGGGTTAAAGAAATTTTGGAGGTTCCCTCAACACTAAATAAAAAGTCTCTGTCTCCAGAACAATTCTTAATCTGTTTTGACTTTCTAAAAAATTAAAAAAATAAATTTTAATACTTTTCTATTCATATAACTAAGGTCGTAAATCTCTGACTCCAATTCTATGATACGGCTTCTATATTCTTCTGAGAGTATAAGTAACTCATCTAAATTGAAATAAAATATATATCTTTCAAATCCCACAACTTACCTGGATGTATATTATCCAAATCAGAAGGTAAAGTAGGAATACGTTCACTTAAAACAATTTGTCTTTCTTCTGCACGTTTCTTTTGTTGTAATTTTAAATCTTCAGCAGCCTTTAGCATAAGCAATTTCTACGAGTAGGAAAACTATTGAAATTTTTAATTTTTCTTACTCGCAATTTTTTCTTTCTTTCGGGTGTCAGAAAGCCTTTTTTGGCCTTCTTTGCACGTCCAGCCTCTTCCAAACGTTTGCGCACTTCTGCTTTCTTGCGGGCTCTCTCAGCACGTAATTCACGTTCAACTTTCTCTCTCTCGCTAGTACACTTTTAAAAAATAAATTTTAAATTATTCAATAAATTTAATAGAATTCCAACTTTCTAGAGGTATATTGGATGAGTATATTTGACATTTAAGGTTTTAACACTAAATTCTCATAACAAAATCAATCACATTTTTGAAATTAATCTCAAATTACAAAACGATGTGTGTTAAATAGAGGTATGAGTTACCCCAAAAATTTGGCCCTAAATTTAATAATTATCACATTCAATATTCAGAAAGCCTTTTTAACTAGAAGTTTAAACAATTTATCAGTTAAATAAACAAATAGTACTTCAGTTTCTTCACTGCTATCATTAAACTCTTTCTGCACATCCAAATTTTGTATATTCATTATGAATGGATATATTATGAGGAAAATGTTATTCAAAATTATATAGATTAATGAGTAAATATTTTTGTAATCAAAAATATTATAAAATGTGATTTTACAAGAAAAATTTCTATTCAGTAAATTAATTGGGTATATCTAATTTCTTTTGTATAATAAAAACAATCATTACTTATATAAAAACAATTAGATTTTAAACAAACATTTTTATATTGCTTATTCAAACATTAAAAAAATTTAAAGTCGAAAAGTTTTCTAAGATATCAGAATTTCGAAAAACGCTGAAACTCGTCAACTGAGACAGAAATCAAGCTATTTTTTAAAATTAAGATCTGCCAGATCGGATAAGGATGAAAGGAATTATTTAAAATCTGCGTCGGTCTTAAGTAAATTGCCGCCACTTATACTTGCTTGATCAAAAACACAAAAATAATTAAAAATTTTCTTTTTTTATGCCTAAATCAAATTTTATTTTAAATATACAAGCAATCGTTTTATTAATCATTAATTGTACTTTTAAAATGATGTAATATATGTACTTAACAACAAAATAGATAATTCATTAATTTTATCACAACATTTTTGACGTCTAATTTAATTAAAATTTTTACTTTTTCTAAAACAAAATAATTTCTAATTTTAAGGAAAACATTTAAAAATTCAATTTTTAAGTTAATTCCAAGTAAATATAAGGAAATAGCCATCATTTTGTTTTTCTATTTTTCAATGATCTTGAACTAATTAAAAAGATTTTTTAAAATCTTCTGCAAAAAAATTCCTTATAAACAAAAAATATTTCGATAATAAATAATAAATTAAGAAATATTTATTTATTATATTCTTTTTTTGTGATTTCCACGAGTATGGAAAAATTTTTTAAATGGATAATTTTGATCAACAGACTGTATTTATTTTGTATTAAAAGTACAAGCAATAAATACAATATAAAAACGATAATTTAAATTAAAAATTATCATTTAAATTTTTTTATTAAATACTTTCCTCTAATTATTTGGAATTTATCCCATTTCCTCAATAAATAACTAAAAAATGTTTAAAATAATCTTTTTTGCCCAAATTTCATTTCTTTTATTTTCCTTTGTTTTTTCAAATATTCAATTAAAATATAAAGAAAGAAATTTTAAAATAAATGGAAGTCCTTTAATTAAAATTTTAAAAATTAATCTTGAAAAATTTGATGATGGTGAAAACAAATTGGAAATATTAGTTGAACTTGATTCCAGTCTTTATTACAATTTTTATCTTTATTTAAATTTGGATTTAAACCCTTCATGTAATTACTGGTCTGAAACAAAATATTATTTTGAAAAGGGAATTAAATTAAAAAGAGGCAGAAAATATAAATTATTTAAAGGAATATTGACGGATAATGTTAAATTTGGATTTAATATTTGTTTATTTAAACATGAAAGGAATTCTAATTATAATTACGTAAGAAGTATTTATTTTTAGTTTAAAAATTAGTTTAATTTTTGGAATTTAATTTTAATAATGTAAGCTGAAGGGGTTTCGAAGGAAAAGAAGTTGAAATTTAAAGGCGAAAATTTTCTTTATCAATATTTTTAAATTCTTAGATTTTTAAAAATAAAATTTAGAATTTTATTTAATTAATATATAAATTATTTGGTTGTTATAGTTAGTGTTTGGCACGGTTCGATACTACCGCGGTACCAGTACATTTATTTTACTACCGGTACCTTTATTTTTTATTTAATATTTCATTCCCGAAAATAAGCAAAATAAATTTACAAAATAATTTAAAATTTACCGTATTTCCTAAAATAAAGCCTCATGCTAAATTAGAGCCCCACCCTAAAATAGACCCCCACTTTGGAGGATAGTTGAAAAATAGAGCCCCATTTGGCTTTATTTTAGGAAATACGGTAAATTAGTAAATAAACAATATTTAATTTTTAAAAATTATTTAAATTTAAATGTTTAGTTGCTTGCAGAACTTCGCCCAACATTTAAATCAAAAATTGATGTGAATACAAACAATTTAACAGAAAACAATTTTATTTTTCAAGGCAATAATTATAAAATTATGAAAATAATTATTGATGGAGTAGAGACCCTATATTGTTTTAATTACAAAAAATTTGAATTAATTAAATTAATTTTGTTTTTGAAAACTAAGGGACCTCAAAAATTAAAAAATAATTTAATCGAAAATTTGGAGAAAACATCGTTGACTGGCAAACAAAATAAAAATTTAAAAGAATATTCTCATATCCAGATTTGTATTAAATTTGAAAATAAAGGGGAATATTTTATTAATTTATCTCAAAAATATGGAGATAAATTATTTAAATTTTTTGTTAAAATTAAAGAAGATAATAAATTTAAATGTTTATTTAAATTTATTGGAAATATTAAAAATGATGAAAAAGAAATTTTGGAAGGGTTTAAATATGGATTATATTTAAATATTATTGAAA